CCAAGTGAGGTGAGCCACGAGTTCTGGCTTGCCGACATTAGGGATGAGTGCATCCTGGGGTTGGACTTGTTGACTCGTTGGGGGGCATGTGTTGATGTTCCGGGGGCTGCCCTCTGCCTTGACCATGGGACTGCGAGGCTCCAATTGTGCCGGGGGCGTTATGGAGAGGTGGTGGCCTCTCAACCCTTGCAAAGCAATCAGGGTTCACAGGATCCAATTACCAGCCACCCCCCAATAAAACCAGAGGCTTGGGGGGGGTCCCAGAGGAGTAGTCCCAATCGGCCCAGAACATCTCCACCACCACCTCGACGCGACGCAGTCACCCCTCCCTCACCTGAGACTATCGCAGCAGTGGAAGAGCTGGGGCAGCGGAGCAGTGGTCACCTCGACGAATCACAGCGAGAACAGCTGCGATGTTTGTTAGATGAGTTCATGGACATATTTGCAGCCCGAGAGGAGGACTGCACGAGAACGACACTGACGCGACATCACATTGACACTGGCTCTGCAGCTGCCATCCGCCTACGCCCTCACCGTCTGCCTCTCGCGAAACGCCAAGTCGCTGAGGAACTGATCCAAGGAATGGCAGCCAATGGTGTCATCGAGCCCTCAGACAGCCCCTGGGCTGCACCAATGGTCATGGTGCGGAAGAAGTCAGGGGGGTGGCGACCCTGCGTGGACTACCGGCGGTTGAATGCGGTCACCCGCAAAGACTCGTACCCGCTGCCACGCATCGACGATGCACTGGACTATGTGGCTGGCTCCTGCTGGTTCAGCTCACTGGACTTGCGCAGTGGGTACTGGCAGGTGGAACTGGCGGTGGAGGCCCGGCCCAAGACAGCATTTACCATCGGACAGGGACTGTGGCAGTTCACAGTGATGCCATTTGGACTGTGTAACGCCCCGGCCACGTTTGAGAGACTCATGGAGCGTGTCCTTAAAGACATTCCCCGAACCCGTTGTGTGGTTTACCTGGATGACCTGCTCGTGCATGCTAAGGGTTTCGAGCAGGCCGTACACAATGTAAGGGAGGTTTTTATGGCGATCCGTGAGGCTGGGTTGCGGCTGAACCCGGCTAAGTGCAACCTGCTGGCTCGTCAGACACAGTTCCTGGGGCACGTGGTGAGCGAGAGAGGGGTGGCAACCGACCCAGGAAAGGTGGCCGTGGTAAAAGACTGGCCTCCGCCGTCCAGCGTTGCTGAGTTGCGGAGCTTCCTGGGACTGGCCTCTTATTACCGGAGGTTTGTCAAGGACTTCGCCTCCATCGCAGGGCCCTTGCATCGCCTGACCAATAAAGGCCAACGATTCGAATGGTCTGAGGACTGTACAGCGGCCTTTCAGCTCCTGAAGGCCGCCCTTGTTGCCGCTCCTGTCTTGGAGTACCCTGACCCCGGCCAACCCTTCCTGTTGGACACGGACGCTAGTGGCACGGGGGTCGGGGCTGTACTCTCTCAGAGGGGGGAGGCCGGAGAACGGGTGCTGGCCTACTATAGCTGTAGCCTCAGCCGGCCGGAACGGAACTACTGCGTCACCCGGCGCGAGCTGCTGGCAGTGATTCTGGCAGTTCGACATTTCAGGTCCTATCTTCTGGGCACCAGGTTTGTGCTAAGGACTGACCATGCTAGCCTCACCTGGATGCTGAATTTCCGCCAGCCTGAGGGGCAGGTGGCCAGGTGGTTGGAGATACTCCAGGAGTATGACTTTGAGGTCCAGCACCGACCGGGGAGACAACATGTCAACGCAGACGCTCTCTCCAGGCGGCCGTGCCTGGGGAAGGAGTGCAGGTACTGCGAGCGCCTGGAGGAGCGGGATGAGGGACTGAGGACGGCAGCAGCTGAACCCAGCGGTGTCGGGGAGACGAGGGAGCCCTTCACCAACGAGCACCTGAGGCAACAGCAGGCGTCGGATCCAGTGCTGGGAGAGGTGAAGGGCTGGTTGGAGTCCGGGGTACGCCCAGACTGGCCGGCCGTGTCGTCCCGGGAACCAGAATTCAAGCTGCTGCAACCTGGAGTTCCACCAGGGGTTGATTTACAGGAGGTGGCGAGCGCCTGGAAGGGGGAATGACCGGTTGCAGCTCCTGGTTCCCCGCGCTCTGCGGCCAGAGGTCCTCAGCTGGGTGCACGGAGCCGTTGGGGCCGGCCATTTCGGGAACGCAAAGACGGTGCGACGCCTGAGGCAACGGTTCTACTGGCCGGGGTGTCGGCAGGACGCGGAGGCATTTGTCCACTGCTGTGACATCTGCACAGCACAGAAAGGACCCAGCCAACGCTCTCTAGCACCACTGCAGCAGTACCTAGTCGGGGCACCAATGGAGAGGGTCGGAGTGGACATTCTGGGCCCCTTCCCTGGCAACCGCTTCATCCTGGTCGCAATGGACTATTTCACAAAGTGGCCAGAGGCGTATGCGGTGCCAGACCAAAGTGCGGTTACATCTGCCCAGATGTTGGTGGATGAGATGTTCTCCCGGTTTGGAGTGCCTGACGAGCTCCACAGCGATCAGGGTCGGAACTTCGAGAGCCGGGTGTTCGGGGAAGTGTGCCGACGGTTGGGTGTGAAGAAGACCCGGACCACTCCCCTCCACCCTCAAAGTGACGGGCTGGTGGAACGGTTTAACCGTACCCTGGCCATGCAGCTTGCCTTCCTGACCAGTCAGCGCCAGCGGGACTGGGACCGGCACCTGCCCCTGGTCCTGTGGGCGTACCGAACTGCGGTACAGGAGTCCAGTCAGTGCACACCGGCGGCACTGATGTTCGGCAGGGAACTGAGGACACCGGTGGACCTGGTATTTGGGGCGCCCCCTGAGCCGGAGATCGCTGGTGGTCCTGAACTGGACTACTATAGACGCTTGAAGGAGCGTCTGGGCACGGTCCATCAGCTGGCTAGGGAGGCTTTGGAGGACGCTGGAGCCCGCCAAAAGCGGGCGTACGATACCCGGGCCCACGGACCCACCCTGAGGTCTGGGGACCGGGTGTGGGTGTTCTGCCCCCAAAGGAAGAAGGGGTTATCACCCAAACTGTCCCCACGCTGGCAAGGACCGGGGGAGGTTCTTGACCAGATTTCGGAAGTGGTCTTCCGGGTCAGGATGCCTGGGCGAGGCAGGCGGGTGGTGCTCCATAAGGACCGGCTAGCACCATACCACCCACTGGCCCTAGAGCAACAGACTGGAGCGCCCCAGGGGAGCACTCCCTCTTCCGCTCCCAGCCTTGGGGTTGAGTCTGGCGCTGGGGAAGGGGCGCCAAGGAGGCCGAGGCGTACACGATGTCAGCCGGGACACTTGGCTGACTTTGTTGTGGGAAGTTAGGGTTGTGGGGACACTAACCCTCTTGGGGGGGGGTTGTGTAATGACCCGGCAGTTGGTTGACGGCCGGGTGCGTTGTGGGTAATGTTCTGATGTGTTAAATGCTGTTTTATCAGTTGAT